GATGTGAATGTACAATATATATGTAAAGCGCTGTGTAAATTGATGGGGCTATATAAGTACCTGAAATAAATAAAATAAATAATACCATTGGGCAGCACAGTGGCTAAATGGATAGCACTTCCGCCTGGCAGTACCAGGGTCGTTGGTTCGAATCCCAACCACGGCACCACCTGCCTGAAGTTTGCATGTTCTCCCTGTGCCTGCATGGGTTTCCTCTGGGTACTCCAGTTTCCTCCCACACTCCAAAGACATGCTGATAGGTTAATTGGATCCTGTCTAAATTGTCCCTAGTATGTGTATGTATGAATGTGAGTTATGGACCTTAGAGTGTACACCCCTTGAGGGTTAGGGACTGATGTGAATGTACAATATAAATGTGTAAAAAGAGCTGCGGAAATTGATGGCGCTATACAAGTACCTGAAATAAATAAATAAATAATACCATCACACACAGCGGTGAAACGATTTGCACAATCCTGATCCCTTTCCTACATCCTAATATAATACAAACATCAGCCTGTTGCTTTGAGGGTTAAAGGGCCCCTTTCCACGCGGTCCCCGCTCTGCGCCGGGCCTTACGGAATAAGCCTGTTAAAGACAACAACATCCAATGCGCGGCTCAGGGCCTGTTCAGCATGCTAAAGAGGATCGCCGTGCATTCCCTTCTTACCTTGGCTTTCAGCTTCTTAATCTCAGCTTCGGTGACGGCATGTTTAATCTGTAGCTGTAAAAAAAAAAAAATGAAGAAAAAATCAGAAGAGAAGAATATAAGAGGATCACAAATTGAGCAAAGGCTTTGAAAGGCTGCGCAGGCGGCTCACACGCTGGATTTGCAGCAGAAGGCCGGCAGGGAAAGCTGCAGTGCAGTAGGCTGTAAATTTAAATGTCTTACTGCAAAAACAGAAAAAAAAAGGATGGTTTTGTCATTCAGCTACAGACGAGAGCGCTGCCCTGAGACAGCCATGTCAGATGGAAATGTGTCGGTATTGAACGACATCCATCCTGACACAATGAGACGAAACGACAACATAAACATCCCCCTGCGACGGACGCTCACACTGAGTCATCTCTTACATAAAGCAACATAAAACGCAGTTCCCATTTAACGGTTTCTTCACTGCGGTGGCAGCCCTAGAGAGAATTGGAATAATGTGGAACCACATATCCCAGCACACCCCGTTAAGGGTTGTCAGGCCATGCTGGGACTTGTGATCACTTAAATCTGCATTCCAACACTTGTTTTACCTGTCCTAAGGATTTGTATTTTAGTCCATCCAGTTCTGAGATTCACACAGCTCTGCCAGTCTTGCCCAGTAGCGGATATTTCTCTGCTGCAGTTTCACTTTTACTTACAGGCAGCATCAGGACAGGGTCGTTCAGCTACTAGGGCAAGGATCCAGGACTGCCCACCCCTCCCCCACTGTTAATACATGTACCACCCTGCATCCATTCCTTAGCCCCCTTGCTTCACCGAGCCTGAGGCAGTCTTCCTTCCTGCCCACCCCTTGTCCCAGTTCTGCTTACACGTTTCCTGTGCACTCTGTGATTGGACAATTAAAGAGGAAGCAGCATGCTGATGAGCTCATTTCTCTGTCATTCTGCTCTCTCCTCCTATCAACATGCTCCCGGCACTGTAACACACCTGACTGGCCCCTTATGCTGCTCCCCCTCCCCTATCTCTGAGCTCAGGTGTACAGAGACTGCATGAGGCTGATTCACAAGGGCGTAATAATTAGTATGCCAAAGAACAGGGCCATAATCAGCCGCTTGGGATGCACAGGTGTTGTATGCAGGCAGTGTAATGACAGGCGGCCAGCTGGACCACTTGAAGTGTACATCAGCACGAGTCTCATCCATGGATCTTGACGCAGACTGACTGCGTTCTGATCCGTACATCGGACCTGCTTGGATGTATGCTTAAAGATGCACTTGCGGATTCCTGCAGATCTGTGCAGCCTGTCATTGATTTCAAAAGGCTGCCTGCATGCCCCTACACAGAACACCTGTGCATCCTGGGTGGCTGAGGGCTGTACGGATCGGTGAATGAGGCCTCACAAGCAAAATTCAGGTAATTACACTGCTTGCATAAAAAAAAAAAAAATACATGTTGACACCTGTGCGAATTTCTACCATCTCAGGACAATGCAGGACAAGAGGAATCCCATTACTGAACCCATTCATACTTATGCAATATGCTTTGTGCAACTCAAAAAAAAGTGCAGGCACTTCTTTAGGTGCATTGATTTATGTCTGTAATATCTGCCTGGAGTTCTGCTTTAAATCAAACAAACAATACTTAGGCTTCATGTACACGAGCAGATTTTTTTTCGCCAAAGCTCCTAAACTCAACTCCATAAAAGCCTACGTTGTCCATGTACACACAGGCTTTTAGCAGAGTTTAGTGGAGGATCAGCTGAGTGGAGGATCAGCAGAGCTGGGGGTTATTACTGAGTGGAGGATCAGCAGAGCTGGGGGTTATTACTGAGTGGAGGATCAGCAGAGCGTGAGGTTACTACTGAGTGGAGGATCGGCAGAGCTGGGGGTTATTACTGAGTAGAGGATCAGCAGGGCTGGGGGTACTACTAAGTGGAGGATCAGCAGAGCTGGGGGTTATTACTGAGTGGAGGATCAGCAGAGCTGGGGGTACTACTAAGTGGAGGATCAGCAGAGCTGGGGGTTACTACTGAGCGGGGGATCTGCAGAGTTGGGGGTTACTACTGAGCAGGGGATCTGCAGAGCTAGGGGTTACTACTGAGTGGGGGATCAGCAGAGCGCGTGAAGTTACTACTGAGCGGGGGATCTGCAGAGCTGGGGGTTACTACTGAGCGGGGGATCTGCAGAGCTGGGGGTTACTACTGAGTGGGGGATCAGTAGAGCGTGAGGTTACTACTGAGGAGAGGATCAGAAGAGCTGGGGGTTACTACTGAATTGGAGAGCAGAGCTGGAGGTTATTACTGAACGGGGGATCAAAAGAGCTGGGGGTTACTACTGAACAGGAGAGCAGAGCTGGAGGTTACTACTGAGTGGGCGATCTGCCGAGCTGGGGGTTATTACTGAATGGAGGATCAGCAGAGCTGGGGGTACTACTAAGCAGGAGATCTGCTGAAAAAGGGTACTAATAAGCTGGGGTCTATTGAGCAGGCGTATTACTGAGCTAGGGGTACTACTGAGCTGCTTTAAAACAAACAGAAAATCAACACACACAGAGCATTTGCCAAGTTTCAAAAAAAGCACCACAAAAGCATCAAAAACACATCAAAAATACATGTTGAAGTGGTAGACACTTTAACAATTTGCAAAACCGCCTGCAAAGTACTACGGACGGGCGGCCCACACAGACAAAACAACGTACCCCAGGGATGAGAAACTAAGAGATCATTAGTAAAAAGCAGCATACAGTACTTTGTAAATAGTACACATTGTTAGGCACACATTTAGCCCATTGATCGCCCTAGATGTTAACCCCTTCCCAGCCAGTGCCATTAGTAAAGTGACAGTATATAGTATTATCACTGATCACTGTATTAACATCACTGGTAATTTCAGTGGCAGCTAGTCAGTTCCGCCCAGAGTCAGTTAGTGTCAGATTGCCCGCCACACTATCGCAGTCCCATTAAAAGGCGCTGATCACCGCCATTAGTAGTAGAAAAACAATTCTGTATATATACACCATAGTTTGTGGGTGCTGTGACTTTCACGCAACCAATCAATATCAATATACACTTATTGGGAATTTTTTTCATCAAAGACATGCAGCAAATTAAATTTTTGCCTAAAATTTATGAAGAAATTTGAGTTTTTTTATTTTTTTTTATTGGGTATCTTTTATAGCAGAAAGTAAAAAATATTGTTATTTTGTTCCAAGATTTTCGGTCTTTTTTGTTTATATTGCCAAAAAAAAACCTAAAAAAAACCCAGTGGTGATTGAACACCAGTGAAGGAAAGCTCTGTTTGTCTGAAAAAAACATAAACTTTGTTTGGTTACATCATTGCATGACTTTGCAGTTACCAGTTACAGTAGCACAGTGCTAAAGAGCAAAAAGTGGCCTGGTCATGAAGGGAGTGAAATCTTCTGGAGCTTAAGTGGTTAATATGTGGTAAAATCAAAGCAAAAGTAAAGGAGCCCTAAGGGAGGGTATGTGTCAGGGTAGAGGGGCGGTAATGTGAGGGCTACATGGGGGGTTAGAGCTAGTGTTACAGGGATAGAAAGCATTCGGGTTGCAGAGAGAGTTAGTGATAGAGATACAGAGATCGGCACTGTTACTGTGTACAATATTTCAGCATATGCAATAACATGTAAAAACAGTGCCAGTTCTAGGGGAGTGCTGGTGTGGGCTGCGCACCCCCAGATTTTAGTTCCCCCCCCCCCCCCCAGGTCTCTGAGAATGCATCCACTGATCCGTGGGTCAGTCTGATGTAGACATTTGATGTAATGGGGCACTCTAACGGGAATAATCCATGTAAGGGAGCACTCTGATGCAGACACTTGATGTGTAAGAGGACACTCTGATGGGGACAGTTGATAAAAGAGAACACTCGGATGAGAACGCTGATGTAAAGGGGCACTCTGATTGGGACCCAGATGTAAGGGGACTCTGATTGGGACCCTGATGTAAGGGGGACTCTGGGACTCTGATGGTGACCCTGATGTAAGGGGGACCCTGATGTAAGGGGGACTCTGATGGGGACCCTGATGTAAGGGGACTCTGATGGTGACCCTGATGTAAGGGGGACTCTGATGGGGACCCTGATGTAAGGGGACTCTGATGGTGACCCTGATGTAAGGGGGACACTGATTGGGACTCTGATGGGCACCCTGATGTAAAGGGACACTCTGATGGAGACATTGGATATAAGGGGACACTCTGACAGGGATCCTGATGTAAGGATGCACTCTAAGGGGGACACCTCATGTAATGGGAAACTTTGAAAGGGACACCTGATGTGTAGAGGGACATTCTGGTGGGGACAGTTGATAAAAGGGGACACTCTGATGGAGACCCTGAATTAAGGGGGCACTCTGATGGAGACCCTGATGTAAGGGGGTCACTGATAGGGACCCTGATGTAAGGGGGCACTCTGATGGAAACGCTGATGTAAGGGGGTCACTGATGGGGACCCTGATGTAAAGGGGTCTCTGATGGGGACCCTGATGTAAGGGGAGACTCTGATGGGGACCCTGATGTAAGGGGGTCTCTGATGGGGACCCTGATGTAAGGGGGGACTCTGATGGGGACCCTGATGTAAGATTGTTTCTGATAGGGACCCTGATGTAAGAGGGTCTCGTATGGGGACCCTGATGTAAGGGGGGACTCTGATGGGGACCCTGATGTAAGGGGGTCTCTGATGGGGACCCTGATGTAAGGGGGGACTCTGATGGGGACCCTGATGTAAGATTGTTTCTGATAGGGACCCTGATGTAAGAGGGTCTCGTATGGGGACCCTGATGTAAGGGGGGACTCTGATGGGGACCCTGATGTAAGATTGTTTCTGATAGGGACCCTGATGCAAGAGGGTCTCGTATGGGGACCTTGATGTAAGGGGGGACTCTGATGGGGACCCTGATGTAAGGGGGTCTCTGATGGGGACCCTAATGTATGGAGGTCTCTGATAGGGACCCTGATGTAAGGGGGTCTCTGATAGGGACCCTGATGTAAGGGGGTCTCTGTTGGGGACCCTGATGTAAAGGGGGACTCTGATGGGGACAACTGATGTAAGGGAGCACTCTGATGAGGACACCTGATGTAAAGGGGACTCTGATAGGGACATTTGATGAAGGGGACACTGTTTAATCACCCTAATCTAATGGCAGCCTAGTGTTTCCCAGATCATGACTTTGTGTGACAGACTGCCAGCGACTCACACACAAAGTTGACATTGTACCGCTGACTTGTTCACTGCACTCTCAGATCAGACAGGCTAAATCCAGCCCTGTATAAAAAGAGAAGAAATGTTGGAAAATACAACCCATTCCAGCTGCACAGACCTGAGCCATAAGCCCCTTTCAGTAAGATCTAATGCACAGTCTTAGCTGACGATCCATTAGGACTCAGAGCTATTCTTACCCTCGATTTGTTCAGAGAAGGAAGCTCTGTAATTTGTATGCATGTGCTGTCGGAGAGAACTTGATAATTATAGTATTTATATGTACTTTCCTATTGAACAATACTTAGGAACAGAGTGGAAACTCTCTAGTAGATAATCCTGCTTTTGAGAAATTTATGGTGAGCCGATGCGGGGGACTGAGTCCCATTTTATATTTGACATTTAACAGACACGGACTACTGTAAAAAGTTATAAAGGTCTTTGGTCTTAAAGGAAACCTGTCATGAGAGGGGCAGCCACGGCCAATCTTCTACATTACATGCATTCTAAAATCAAATTTTTAAAACCAAACAAAATTTAGAAGTTCTTTTTCAAACGAGATTCTTCAAGTCAAGGAACTGAGAACTTTCGTACAAATATTCATATGGATATGCATTACAAAATATTTTCATGTATTGGCAGCTTAAAGCGCAGCTCCACCCAAAAGGGGAAGTTCCGCTTTAAGCCCTTGTCCCCCCGCTCCCCGTTAAGGATTGGCACCTTTGGGGAGCTGGTACCCGAATTTAACAGGTACCCGCTCCCGCTGGGATCGCCTAGGACAGTGGTTCTCAACCTGTGGGTTGCGACCCCTTTGGGGGTCGAACGACCCTTTCACAGGGGTCTCCTAAGACCATCAGAGAACACATATTTCCGATGTGTAAAGAGCAGCTACTGTGTAGAAAGCAGCTGCTGTGTTGAAAGCAGCTACTCCGTTAAAAGCAGCTACTGTGTTGAAAGCAGCAGTATTGGAGGTAAAACGACATTCATGAATTATAATTACTGGGTAAATCATTTTATGGTTAGGGGTCACCACAACATGAGGAACTGTATTAAAGGGTCACGGCATTAGGAAGGTTGAGAACCACTGGCCTAGGAGATCGGAAGCAGAAGTTGTCCTCCCCCTCCCTCCCCATAGTTTTCTGGGACACATGACAGGTCCCAGAAGACTACGGGGCCATTCACAAAGTGCAGCGCTTCTCGTGCATGCGCAGAGGGCACCCGGCTGTGAAGCCGCAAGCTGTCACAGCCGGGTGCCCACACTGAAGATGCCGGCGCCGGGGAGAGAAGACGGCCGGTGAAACCAGTGGTGGTGAGGACACCGCCGGACTGAAGGACAGGTAAGTGGCTGTATTTTAAGAGTCAGCAGCTACAGTTTTTGTAGCTGCTGACTTTTATTTTATTTTTTCTAAATCAACTGGAACTCCGCTGTAAGTGCTGCTATTCATGGGAGTTATTAGGAGGCTGATATCAAGTCAAATTCAGGTACTTTCACTACTTGCATTTAAAAATATTTAGAGTGTATGTGAACCCTAACCTTGTGAAACAACCCATTCAGTTAAAATAGAAATGAAAGGAAAAACCTCAACAGATTTGTCAGGAAACCTTTATTTTTCTTTCAGAACAAGGGTGGACTGACCATTTGGAAACTCGGGCACTGCCCGAGGGCCCGGGGTCAGTAGGGGGCCCCATGAGATGCCCCTGGTACCTTTTTCATAGTCTTTTTTGAGTTTAGGCAAGGACACAGGGGCCCCATGATCCCCTATTGCCCAGGGGCCCCACAAGTTGTCAGTCCACCCCTGTTTCAGAATCAACATTTTTTATGGGATGCTATACTACAAAATACTCCCACAAATGCGGGCCATTGATTGCAAACAAGATTTGTTAATTTGCACACACAAAAAAGTATTTTTCCTAACAAAGACCATGTTGCAAAAATGAATACACCCCAATGAAAGTCTAATGCCTCGTACACACGATAAGAAAATCGTACGAAAAATTATGCGGAACCACTGATCGAACGATTTTCTCTTCATTGATGAGTAAGATGTTTTAACCGATAACAATATTCTGAATGAAAAAATTTGGTTGAAAAACAGTGAAAAATGTTGTCGTTTTCGCATACGAATGACCGATTTTCTATGCGCTGGTATTACGGTCACATGAAAAAAATCTATCAAGCGCTATCACGTATGAGCGGAAACAGAAGATGACCCGGATGTTTATGTCCAAGGAATCTTCGTAAAGACGAACGAAAAATCCAAATGTTAAAAGTCGATTGGCCTAATGAGATAATGAAAGCGGAATTCTGCAGATTATATTTTATGTATCACTATTTATGTATATAGGTCGTGTAATAAACGATATTATACTCATTGCTGGTCATTGTTGTGTATATCGCTCGTTCTGGCCGGGAGGGCGTGGCTACAAGGTCACACGCACACCGCATCACTTCCACTTGTACGGAAGACGTCAACACTACGTATTGCCAGATGAACGATTTTTTAGAGTGGTTAATGTGGGCCACGATTTCGACCAACGAACCAACGCCTCTTGGTCGTCGGATGACCAATCAGTCGATTTTCTAATCGTGTATTCCCACTTTTAGGAGCAAAGCTAAATTTTAGACAACAAAATCCTAATTAACAATAATTCATCTACAGGTGATTCTAATTATTCATTAAATCGGTGTCCAGCAGACAGATGATTTTAGAAGGGCGTTACACTGCGGCGGAATGGCATGCATGGGTGTTGTCAACAAAGGAAGCCTCTCCTAAAGCCCATGCACAAAAAAGCCCGCCTAGAATTTGCCAGGGTCCATGCTGAAAAAAAAGCAGACTACTGAGACTCTCTACTCTGGAGTGATGAGAGCAAGATAATTGTTTTTGGAACTGATGGCTTCCAAACTGTATGGCATCTCAAAGATGAGGAGTACAAAGAAAAATGCACGGTGCCTACAGAGAAACATGGTGGTGGCAGTGTCCTCCTGTGGGGCTGGTGGTGTCAGGGAGCTGCATTTCATTGATGGTGTCATGAATTCACAGATGTACTGCTCTTTACTGAGAGAGAAGATGCTACCATTACTCCATGCCCTTGGTCGTCGTGCACTTTTCCAACATGACAATGATCCACAACACACATCTAAGGCCACTGTTACATTTCTGAAGAAGAACAGGGTTAAAGTGATTCAGAGGCCAAGTATGTCTCCTGATCTGAACCCAATCAAACACCTATGGGGAATTCCGAAGAGACAAGTTGAGCATCGCTCTCCATCCAACATCCAGGCTCTAAAAAAAGAGGTCGTTCTTGAAGAATGGAAAAAGATCGATGTTGCAATATGCCTAGAAGACTTGGTGCTATCCTTACAAATCATGGAGGTCGTACAAAATACTAGATGGAGTAGTTTTTATTGTGGGGTATATCTATTTTGCATCAACTAATTTGAGTAAAACTGAAGATTTTGTAATCCAAGTTATATTATTACCTTACTTTCATGTAATGAGCTAAACAAATGTTCTATAAAACTAAGTTTTGTCAAAAATTGGGAAATTGTTCCTGTGTCCAATGAAATAATGATTAAAATCTTACTTTTCAAAAGGGGTGTACTCATTTAGGCTGAGCACTGTGTATATATATATATATATATATATATATATATACTTCCCAGAGAATGGCGGGTGTGGGGGGAGGGGATGCGTGTGAGCAGAAGTCTGAACATTAGAGGACAGCAGGCTGAGTTCACAGCACAGCCAGAAAACTGACCACACTGTGCTCTCATACCTAGTGTGGTCAGTATTTAATATGAAAGCAGAGGGACTGGAACACCAGGAATTTCACACAAAGGAAGCAAGAGTTTAAGTCCCCATTAGTTTATTTTTTTGCTATTTTTCTACTTGAGGGGATTTTCCTTCCATTTCTGTCCTGGAAAAGCAACCAGAAGAGGAAATAAATCTATCCACAGTTAAGGGAATTCTTCTCTGCTTCAGCTGCCACTGGAACTGATCGTAAGATTTCCCCTCACCTTGTATTCTATTGGCAACTCTAAAATTTTAGATTTCCTCTCACTTTCCGTCCCCCTGACAATGGCTCACCAGCACATATTTAGAAGAGTGAATCTCCACAGCGGGGACACAGCAATAAAAACCTGACAAGGAGTTCTAAGTTCATACTCTACCCAAAACTAAAAAAAAAAAAATATTCATACACCTAAACTCAGTATCTTGTGATAAAAGGAACATTTAAATTAGAATACCTCTTTAAATTTGTGAGCCAGTTTTGTTGCATCCACATCAGAGGAGAACATTTCATCCCCTTCCGGGAGATCAAAAACTTCAATGGCCATTTCTCTTCCTGGAATTACCGACCGACATCTTCATCATCTTCATCCGTGGCGTACTCTCCTGTCTGGGTTTAAAACGTGGAAATGATTACCATTATGTGATCTCACATGACAATACACATAGAAGTGTGTAGGCAGGTGCAGTTAGATACTTTGCCACAAAGTGGCTCTGTACCGGAACAGTGTCTGGTTCCAGTAGATAGTGTCATCAGGTGCTAGGCCCCTTTTAAGTAGAGCCCTCCTGTACTGATGTCATGGGTGAGACAGCACCCATATAAAAGCCAGGTTGGGAGGAGCCCAGTTGCACTCGGGTCCTGGGAGCTGGATGTAGCCAGCACGCATAGCCCCTCAACAGGGTAGGAGGCCGAGGAGGAGTAGACCTGCACCCAGGTGAGCCGGATGTAGTCTTTTTGCCCCTAGGGGCCAGAGCTAGGATGGATTGCAAAAGACCTTT